TATTCCAAACGAAAGAGCATACTTTTTTCTATATAATGGCATATTCTTTAGAGATCTTTTCTAAATAGTTAAAATTTTATGAAGAATATAGACAAAATTTGAGTATCGTTCGATAGCGAATTTTTACGGTTTTTTCAATAATAAATTGAAAAAAAGTGATATTTCTAAGCCGATTTTCGAAAATCTGACTATTCCAAACGAAAGAGCATACTTTTTTCTATATAATGGCATATTCTTTAGAGATCTTTTCTAAATAGTTAAAATTTTATGAAGAATATAGACAAAATTTGAGTATCGTTCGATAGCGAATTTTCATGGTTATTTCAATTATAAATTGAAAAAAAGTGATATTTCTAAGCCGATTTTCGAACATCTGATTATTCCAAACGAAAGAGCATGCTTTTTTCTATATAATGGCATATTCTTTAATGATCATTTCTAAATAGTTAAAATTTTATAAAGAATATAGACAAAATTTGAGTATCGTTCAATAGCGAATTTTCATGGTTTTTTCAATTTTAATTTGGAAAAAAGTGATATTTCTAAGCTGATTTTCGAAAATCTGACTATTCCAAACGAAAGAGCATACTTTTTTCTATATAATGGCATATTCTTTAGAGATCATTTCTAAATAGTTAAAATTTTATGAAGAATATAGACAAAATTTGAGTATCGTTCGATAGCGAATTTTTACGGTTTTTTCAATTATAAATTGAAAAAAAGTGATATTTCTAAGCCGATTTTCGAACTTCCGACCATGGCAAAGGAAAGAGCATACTTTTTTCTATATAATGGTATATTCTTTAAATAACTTTTCTAAATAGTTAAAATTTTATGAAGAAAATAGACAAAATTTGAGTATCGTTCGATAGCGAATTTTCACGGTTTTTTCAATTATAAATTGAAAAAAAGTGATACTTAAAGCCGATTTTCGAACTTCCGACCATGGCAAACGAAAGAGCATACTTTTTTCTATATAATGGCATATTCTTTAGAGATCTTTTCTAAATAGTTAAAATTTTATGAAGAATATAGACAAAATTTGAGTATCGTTCGATAGCGAATTTTCTCGGTTTTTTCAATTATAAATTGTAAAAAAGTGATATTTCTAAGCCCATTTTCGAACTTCCGACCACAGCAAACGAAAGAGTATACTTTTTTCTATATAATGGCATATTCTTTAGAGATCATTTCTAAATAGTTAAAATTTTATGAAGAATATAGACGAAACTTGAGTATCGTTCGATAGCGAATTTTCACGGTTTTTTCAATTATAAATTGAAAAAAAGTGATATTTCTAAGCCGATTTTCGAACTTCCGACCAAGGCAAAAGAAAGAGCATACTTTTTTCTATATAATGGCATATTCTTTAGAGAACTTTTTTAAATAGTTAAAATTTTATGAAGAATATAGACGAAATTTGAGTATCGTTCGATAGCGAATTTTTACGGTTTTTTCAATTTTAAATTGAAAAAAAGTGGTATTTCTAAGCCGATTTTCGAACATCTGATTATTCCAAACGAAAGAGCATGCTTTTTTCTATATAATGGCATATTCTTTAATGATCATTTCTAAATAGTTAAAATTTTATGAAGAATGTAGACGAAATTTGAGTATCGTTCGATAGCGAATTTTTACGGTTTTTTCAATTATAAATTGAAAAAAAGTGATATTTCTAAGCCGATTTTCGAACATCTGATTATTCCAAACGGAAGAGCATACTTTTTTCTATATAATGGCATATTCTTTAGAGATCATTTCTAAATAGTTAAAATTTTATGAAGAATATAGACAAAATTTGAGTATCGTTCGATAGCGAATTTTTACGGTTTTTTCAATTATAAATTGAAAAAAAGTGATATTTCTAAGCCGATTTTCGAAAATCTGATTATTCCAAACGAAAGAGCATACTTTTTTCTATATAATGGCATATTCTTTAGAGATCTTTTCTAAATAGTTAAAATTTTATGAAGAATATAGACAAAATTTGAGTATCGTTCGATAGCGAATTTTTACG